AGCATAGCCATCAAAATGGGGAAAAACCAATGAGATAAGCGAAGAAGACTAGAGAAACCAAAATGCAAACCCAAAAAGTATATATGAGAAAATGATGATTTAGAAACATCGTTTGGATGAAGGAATTGCAAATTACATAGAATTCTAAAATCACGAAATTTAGATTTCCGTCATTTCAATTTCTGGCAATTGAAGATTTTAGTGTTTGGATTTATGTATGTCGAATTTTGTAAATGCTTGAATTCAAAATTTCAATGTTTGGATAGCTCATGTAAATTGTAAATGACAAAAATTAAATATTTTGATATCTTGGTCCTTCTTCTGCTAACACTGTTACAGGAATGTGAGTTCCATCAAGTGCCCCAAGACAATTCTAAACATGAAATATAAAACAGTATAAGTATGAAACTTAAGATAACTAGTTGAAAAATAAATATTTTTTTTTTTGGTTTACAATTATATAAGTACCTCAAACCATTGTCATTTGCTTCTTTCAGAACTCCCAACAATACTTGGCTGAAATTTTACGTATTATTCACTAATTCTCATCATTGCATATAAGACTCTATTAAATTGCCGACTAATTATTTCAATTGAACAGTAATAGTCAAAACCAATGACTCTAATTTCAAGTTGTGAGCAATTATTTTCAAATAATATTGCTACAGATTCTTCAATTGAAATATTTCTTGTTCGAACCAAATTCTACATAACTTTTCGAATGCACTTTTGCTAATTCGGAATTGATCAATATAATCAACTTTTTTTCCCTTGTACATATGGTTCAAATAAGATCACATTTCTTCATCCCAATCATGTGAAGGCTCTTTAACACAAAAATTATCATAATACCATTGTACTAGCGTAACCATAAAAGAGATCATTGTACAAACAATAATTGTGAAATGAATTTTGGCACTGTTTTTTTTATATAAAAAAAAATGAAAAGTTTTGCGTTGTTTTTTTATGTAAGTTTTGGCACACAAGAAAATATGAATTCCCGCACTATGAAAATTGTGAAATGATGCCTATTTTGGTAGAAATTAAACTCAGGAATTTGATGCCTCAATTTCCACGATTTTTCATGTGCGTCATTTAATAAATTCCGTGCTTAAGTTGTCAAACAAGGGAATTGTAACATCCCACATCGACCAACGGAGAAGGGGTGATCTGCCTTATATATACATACTCGCCTCCATCTAGCACGAGGCCTTTTGAGAGCTCACTGGCTTCGGAGTCATGGGAACTCCGAAGTTAAGTGAGTTGGGGCTAAAGCAATCCTAGGATAGGTGACCCACTGGGTAGTTGCTCGTGAGCTACCAAAAACAAAACCGTGAGGGCAGAGAGGGAGGCCCAAAGCGGACAATATCGTGCTACGGCAGAGCGATCTAGGATGTGACAGGAATTGTCAATTTCTCAGCAGTTATTTCACAATTTCCATAGTGCCATTTACAAAATTCGACATACATAAATCCAAACACTGAAATCTTCAATTGCCAGAAATTGAAATGATGGAAATCGAAATTCCGTCATTTTAAAATTCTATAAATTTTGAATTTCTTCATCCAAACACAGTCCAGTAGGTAAACAGTCTTGTGTTGTTGTCACTGTAGAGATCCGGGCTGACCTGTTGCAGCACACAAACATGAATCAAGATCAATAATTCATGTCTAAAAACGAAAATAAATAACTCGGTAAATTTGGGCAACATTATTGTTGGCTTTGATTAATATCAAAATAAGCATTACTTTGTTAGCCTTATCATTTACTATTTTGTCCCATCAGAACTAAGAAAAACAGAAGCTATTTCTTTCTCATTAAAGCTGTAAAATAGAAAGATACATTAAAGTTATTTTCCCTTTACGGGTATTACTACAACACACACACAATAAACTTTAAGAATATTTTTATGACCAACATATAAATAAAAAAGTTTGCTTTATGGGTCAAGGATGTTGAATGGGCTGAAGCGGGCAACAGGAACACACACAAGATCATGCGCCCTCGGAGCAGTCAATCCAGGCCGTTCATCCATTTCAAGAACATCATAACCATTCATCCTCTTGCACAATATTTTTATGACCAACATATAAATAAAAAAGTTTGCTTTATGGGTCAAGGATGTTGAATGGGCTGAAGCGGGCAACAGGAACAAACACAAGATCATGCGCCCTCGGAGCAGTCAATCCAGGCCGTTCATCCATTTCAAGAACATCATAACCATTCATCCTCTTGCAATCAAACCCATCAACCTTCCAATCGAAGCACTGAATCAAAGCCGCAAGTACCCCAGGCAACATTTTCATGGTCAAGTTCGTACCAGGACACACCCTCCTCCCAGACCCAAATGGCAGTTGAAAATGTTGGCCCCTAACATCAACATCCACTGCACTCATCTGGCCATCGTCCTCACCGAGTTGCAAGAATCTTTCAGGCCAGAAGTCTAGTGGGCTTTCCCAGTTCTTTGGGTCCCTTCCAATGGCCCAAACATTCACATGTAGCATTGTGTTTGTAGGGATGTCATATCCCCCAATCTTACATTGTTGTACAGATTTTCTTGTGGCCAAAGGCACCGGTGGGTGTAGCCTAAGTGTTTCTTTTATGATGGCTTGGATGTATGGAAGATTTGGAACATCCGATTCTCCGGCTACTCGTAGATTTCCGACGGCTCGATTGATCTCCTCCCTTGCTTTCTTGAGCACTCTTGGGTGGTTGATGAGCTCTGCCAATGCCCACTCTAGTGAAATTGCATTTGTATCAGTTCCAGCCATGAATAAATCCTGAAAAGAATATTTATGTTGATTTTAGTAAAGTAAAACATCATCCTAGATCTAGAATATAAGGTTCATTGATAATTATATTAAAATCTTTCAACATTGTCAAGGTAAAGTAAGAACTCATATACCAATGCAATATCTGCACTTTGACTTCACAGAATACATTTCTACATACACCAAGAATATAGAGAAGCAAAGTTGTAAATCATTATGAAGAATCAACGACTGGAATTGATTATCTCTATAAGTATTCTCAAAAGATTTATATGAAAAAATAATTCTTCAAAAAATTAATTAACTATGTTGAGCTCATTCCTAACATGCATGAAAGGAAAAACTTGAATGAAATAAATAATTTTTTGTCTTAAATCTCCCCACACGTAAATTAAGAATTATAGATAGATATCATTACCGTAATTAGAGCCTTAAGGTGAAGTCTTGTAAATTCAACCTCAGCACTCCCATTCTCCAACATATCAAGCAATGTATCAAGAAAATCCTTGACTTCCTCCTCCTCTTCCATCCGTTCCTTCTTTCTCAGCTCTTCTCGTTCTCTAATTACCTTCTCCACCAACACATCCAACCTCCTATGCGTCTCCTCAATTCTCTTCACAAACCCTCCCAAATCCAACTTCTTACAAACCCAAAAAAAATCGCACAAACTCACCTCTCCAAAAAGCCTTGTGGCCTGCCGCACCACCACCCCCGCCTCCTCCACCAGCACCTCCCTACCTTCGGCACTCAAACCCCGATTCCCAACAATCATCTGCAAGATCACATTGTTCCAAAGCTTCGGAAACTCGTCAGTGAGATTCACAGCTTCAACACTCTCAGCTTTCTTGGCCAAGAACCTCAGAAGCCTAAGATACTCTTGGGTTCGAATGGAAACTAAGTTGTTGATGCTACGGTTTCCTAGAAGCTCGTTCACTGTCAGTTTCTTGATGAACTTCCAGTAAGGTCCATAGGTGCAAAAGCAAGGGAAGCATTGTAGGTCATGCTTTCAATGGCGAGGGACTGAGCACGGGATATGAAGGAGAGCTCATGGGTGTTGAGGAACTCTTTCGCTAGGTCCGGTGAGGAAACGACAACGCATTGGAGCGAGCCGAGGCGGAGGGAGAATAAGGGGCCGAAGCGGAGAGAGAGGTTGTGGAAGGTGCGGTGGATGAGAGGGCCGAGGAGGTGGTAGTGGCCTATGATGGGTAGAGCTAAGGGGCTTGGAGGGAGGTGAAGGTGGGTTTGGAATATTTTGGAGGTTAGGGTTGGGAAGAGAAGAAGAGGGATAGCTAAGAGAATAGAGAGGATCAAGAGTAGGACTAGCTCAAGTGCCATGGCTATAGCTTTGTTGTGAGAAGACTGGCTAACTGTGTAATGGGATTGTTTGTTCTTGTTTGATCAACTATTCTCAAATGGAAATGTTGTAGCACTCCAAAATAATTATTATTCAAACTCATGATGGGTTTCTAATTAAACGGCCCATGACTTTCATCGTTATATATATGTCGCACATAGCTAAAAGGAAAACTGTCTAATGTGACACCCTATTATTACAAGAAATTATAGAATACTACATTAGTATGGTCATGTGTCCATGTGGTATATATCTTATACTCGTGTTATAATATGGTATTAGAGAATAATATCAATAAATATTCACTTATATTATAACACATATACAAGATATATCAGATGACCGTACTCTTGTAATATTCTATAATCATTCCGTGATTATATGCATATGCATCCAGAAGTTAGCAATGCCAAAAAGAAAATAACAAAGTTTTATACTTTGCACATGCCACGTTTGCATACACAAGAAATGCCTTGCCACACGGTCCTACATGCATCAATTGTCGTGTGCAAAACATGACAGGTCCTAAAATGCATGCATGACACTTCTAACATATAATCCACTTACCAAAAAGCAAAATAAAAAATAAAAAATAATTGCATAATGCAAACCAACTCCATTTGTTTAAAAACTAAAAAATAAAAAATAAAAAATCCTTACCGTAATGTGAACTCTTGTAAGTATCACCTCCTCACCCTCTACGCTCCCTTTTTCCAGCAAAATTTATAGAAAACCTCCTCCATTTTTCATCTTTATCCCAGCCGTGAAGAATTCCTGGTAACATGATTTTATAACACTTGAAAGTAGTTGGAAATTTCCTAGAATTTGCAAATTTTATTGTTTTTATAACATGTTAATCATGATGGAATCTGAATGCAATGCCGGAGGTGAAAGTGGTTTGGTTGGTGATGTTGGTCGTGGTTGGTGGCAGCAGTGGTATGAGTAGTGGTGGTTGCATGATAGTTACGGTTGCGGCAGTGGGGAAGTAGAATGTCAATGAAGGCCGCGGTGGTGAGAGCCAAGTAGTCAGTAGTGTGAAAAAACTATGCATTCTAGACATGTAGCCCCAATTCTCAGAATCTCTAAACGAGAGCACTCCGAGGCAAAAATAAATCAATAAAAGAGAATCCCAGGCGAAGAAAATTAATAAATAAAAGAGAGCACTCCTATAAAGGTGTTAACAGTATTGTGTTACAAAGTAGCTTCAGTTTTGTAAATGACTTACTCTTCCTAACCTTCGTGTAGGACACAAGTACAACTTGAATCAACCATAATTGCTATAATTCTCTGTTTCTATTTTTGATTGCATTACGGAATAGTTTCAATTTTCTACATCGTTCACTCTTCGATTGCATTACGGAAGCAACGACGATGTTCCTCCTAAATTGAAAACTTTGCAGGAGCATTCTTCAGCTAATCTATACCGTAAGCAAAAAACAACGAATTATTTGCAACGAGGGAGGAAAAAAAGTAATAGTAGTAAAGCTGTGCGCAAATCCGGTTTAAACAGTATATGCACCACAATCACGATTAATGTGGATAAGTTTACCATGGATGAGTGTCTTAGCACTGAAATACTCCGGACATTGTTTCCATGATCACCAGAAAGTACAAGCCTCACATGTGGGATGCTCTTCCAGGTCTGTCCAAGAGCAGGTTTTGGAATACCTCTTTCCCCACCCACTGTGTGATTGGTCACCTTCACATTTATTTTATTTGTAGAATTATTGCAAAGGTGAAAGCATAAACTAAAGACCTATTCAATGAACCCTTTCAAACTAAATTTACTGTCGTGATAAACAAAATGATGATGGAGACGCAAATAAGCTTGAAGCGGAAATGGAAACTGATCCAAGCTTTAAAAATTTACAAACATTATATTTTCTACACGTCAAAATGAACTTTATAGAGCCACAGCTTTTCTATGTTAATTTTAAGAGGGCAGTGGTTCACCTGTGGATTATGTTAACCTGAGAATTGTGCATAACATGTATCCAAGAGAAAACTTACCAGTACCGCAACATTATGCTCATGTGCTAATTTCTTTAACATATACCCAGCAGATATCATCAAGGCGCGTCCTGCAGTTATTCCACAAGCATGAGTCAATGAGCTCTCATCTTCACAAGTTGCATATGACATTTTTGAGTTGCATGAATGGACAAATATGAAAATTAGAAAAAAAATTCTACTCAAGTGAACCTTCTTTGGATGAAAAACAATTTATTTTTAAAAAAATGAGAGAAATACTTGAAAAAGAAAAGAGAACAGGAAAAACATTATTGAAACAAACCAGAAACTGAAGAAAACTGTGATTTGCATACAATGATCTATACCCTGTGAACCACTGTTCCCAAGAATCGGGGTAATTAGTGAAGAGATCGAATCAACATTAAGCAACCGCACCTGCCCTCGTTTCTGCAGCTGGAACCAGATCATATGATCAATAAAAGGAAAATTGAAACTCTATCCAGAAATGGGAAGGAAATTCGTTTTGTCAAACACATTGAACATTGTAAAGATGTCAAACACAGAATGGCATACAATGCCATTCATTATTCTCTGAAAAATTCTTTTTCCAGCCTACAGTTAAAACTTAAAATCAATGTGGAAATATCAGAGAGTGCAGTAGTTCACTTGAGTAAAAGGGCTAACTGAAACAACCAAAATAAAGAAAACTCTACTCTAAAACTGATGGTATGACCTCATCAAAGGCACGGCCAGAGATATGAACAACAAACTGCACAATTCGTTGGGGTGAGAAAGAGTTACCAGTGTCCAGGTATACAACATTACCCATGTGCTTTGTTGCAACATTTGAGGCAGCAAGTAGGCAAACCTGAACACCACCAAGAATTTAAATATACTTTTGAACTGTTGTCACAAATATAAATAGTGAATTAGTGATATGCTTAAATCTTTATTTAGGTGATCACAACATTGGCGCAGCACAGTGTACTTAAGAAATGACATTCAAACCCAAATGAAAGACTCTGACTTGTAAACTGAAAATTTGAAATCATTGCTATCATAATCTTATGTAATTGCTGAACAAAGTGAATTACTTGTGTTTTACCACAAGAAGATGGCCCAACAAGTTCAGTTAATTGTCCCTCACGTAATCCGCCTCCAAGTAACAAATCAATTCTGGTTCATGGCAACCCGAAAAACATTACATTTAGTATTACTAAAAGTCTAAAAGCAGTGAAAGGAATAGGTCAGTGTTTGGGCTAAGCATACCCTTCACACCCAGTTGACAGTACATGCTTGTTAAGTAGAGCATCATCTAAAAGCTCCATACCATTCAACCATGGTTGATGCTGAGTATCAATAATAGAGAGGACCTGAGTAATGCCCGGCTAGCCCAAACATAACATGATATAATTGTTTAAAGTGAATGTATCTTTGTTAAAACATAACATGTATCTGTGAAAAATAAAATTCTTATGGAAAAAAAAACCTGCTTTAATTTCTCAGATGTAGGCTGTTGTTCTGCAAATGCAGCTAATTCATAGAGGTCATGAATGAGGAAATCTTCCACTGCACCAAATAGAAAATAAGACACAAAATTGAACTTGTGCTATTCATATTCTCTATTGGGTATCAAAATCCAAGAGATCCCAAATAGAAATTTATGTACTGTATTGGGTTTAAAGCAAATTTTACAACTGATGGAATGGAACTCACCAGAGAAAATACCGTGAGAGGCGCAAAAGGCCTGGAAATTGGGGTCGAGTATTGGGTACGCTGCCTCCAAAGCTTTCAACGGTGCCATTTCTTTCACGCTCTCCTTTCCAGTATCCACACAACACATTTGTCTAGACTCAAATCGCAATGCAACGCTGTTGAAAAAAGCGTTTGTTCAGCAGATTGAGGTATTTGGGATTGCTTTTTTTCCCCCAAAATCTGCTTCACTTTAAAGTTTAGCAGTTTAAAGTTTTTAGTTAAAGCAGTTGCCCTTTAAAAAGTAGTGGCCTTTGACATCAGCTTTTAAAAGCATGCTCTAAGTTGCTTTTCAAAACTGCTTTCAAAAGAAATACAGATGAATGTTTTTAAGGGAGTTTCACTAAAATACCCAAAATAGGGGCTGAAATTATAAAAATACCCAACACCCAAAACACTTTATAAACATACCCAAAACTCATCATTACACACACTCAAAACCCATTTATAAACATACCCAAAACACATCATTAAGCCTTTTACAGCAGCTTTTAAAAGCATGCTCTAAGTTGCTTTTCAAAACTGCTTTCAAAAGAAATACAGATGAATTTTTTTAAGGGAGTTTCACTAAAATATCCAAAATGGGGGCTGAAATTATAAAAATACCCAACACCCAAAACACTTTATAAACATACCCAAAACTCATCATTACACACACTCAAAACCCATTTATAAACATACCCAAAACACATCATTACACACATACCCAAAACTCATTTTGGGTATGTTTCTATGTTTAAATAGTGCTTGGGTATTTTTATAAATACATGTCTAGGATTGGGTATTTTTATAAATATCTATTTTTTTAATTCCCAAAATATCATCATTAATTTCTAAAAATAACACCCCTATACCTCCACATCCAACTCCACCACCTCCACCTCCACATCCACATCCACCTTCACCACCACCACCGCCGCCGCCATCGCCACATCCTCCTCCGCCACCGCCACCGCCACCACCACAACACCATCGCCACCACCGCGGCCACCACCTCCTCTTCAACCTCCACCAGCACCACCTCCTCCTCCACCTCCACCTCCACAATCACCATCCCCACCACCACCACTACCACAACCACCACCTCCACCTTCATCAACACCACCACCACCTTCACCGCCATCTCTTTCACCACCACCACCACTACCACCACATGATTAGCGCATAACATTTTCAACATTATGTCTATTTTAGTTCTTATTCACAGTTACAACAGTTTTACATTAAAATTTATCAAACAGTTTTGACACTATTTTTTGTATTAACAACACTTTAAAAATATTATTTGTCAAACATGGAGCTACTTTACTTTACAGCTAATTATTTTCAAAGCACAGTATAAGCAACTTTTTTTAAAAGTGACAGCAATCCCAAACTGGCCCTTAACTGGCCAAGTTTCCCACTCTTACTTTCGATTGGTTTTTTAGCTTTCATGGAAACCCAAAAAGAAAAGTTTTTTTTAATATAAAAAAAATTATATATTTTAAGTGGAATTAGGAGCATAAATGGGAGTGGGAAATTGGGAATGATGGTGTATTTTTAATTTTCAAATTTTATTAAAACTTCTTCGTTGATTGGATAGAAAAAAGCGTTTGCTCCTGCGCGTGCGGGAGTAGAAAAACTTGTATGAAATGGGGATATCATTGTTTTGCTATCCTCTGCCAATTACAGTCTCCACGTGGAAAATTTATTAAGCATGGCATACTGTGATTGGCCGGGGTTAGCAAAATAGTGTTATCCTCGTTTCATGTAAGTATTTCTCATGTGGGAGGGACTTAAAAATCTTTTTCTTAGTACAAGCGATAGTCCAAACTACAGGAGAAGGGGATTTCTCACACACATACACACAACTATAATGTTGTGGGGATTCGAACCTGAGACTTTTGTCTGCAACTCAAGGCCCTTTTCAATTGAATTAGACATCGTTGGCATATTTAAAACTTCTTAGTTGATTGAACATAAAATAATACGTTGTAGTAGTATAGTCTGGATGTAAATTTGTTGCATGTTGAACGTTGGGATTACAAATTGTGTTTCATGAAGGTGTAAAATTTTGGGAAACGTGCATTTACAGGGGAGACTGTCGAATTTTCGACAGAAGTCAAAACCTAATGAATTTTTGTTTTGTTAGAAGGGCAATTTGGTCATTGATGCCCGGCACTCGCCAGGTGTCGGACACGCACAGGGTTCGGCTCAAATTCCAAAATGGAATTTGGGTCAGGTCTTGTCACAACGAGTTAGGGTATTTTGTGTTATTAGGGTTTAACAAAATGAGTACAATCTTGGGTTGAAATCAAAATTGTAAGGTATAAGGTCACTTATTGGATGCTATATTAAAGTTTGAATCGATTGAATGAGAAATGTATTGTGGAGACATAATCAAGGTGATTAAACACCAAAATATATTGCCAAGTTGTTGATTTCATTTTAATTTGGCTTGGCTTTTTTATTTTCTTTATACCTCACAATTTTGATTTCAACTCTAGATTTCCCCTAATTTTTTAAACCCTAAGAGCACAATATAACCTATCTCGTTGAGTTAGAGGAAGAAAATTGCATGTGCTTCGTAAATAATAAATAAATAAAAATTGCACTTAATGGAAGATTACGGAATGCCTATAAATTGAAAACACAGCGACCAATTTGGCTAAAACAATTTCTCAGTGACCAATTTGAATTTTCATGTTAAACCGAGAGATCAAAAAATTATTTAACCCAAAATAAATTAAAAATTATTTAAGAAATTCAAGAGTAAGTTTATTAATAATAATAAAAGCATGATTATTTATTTTGATAAACAATAAATGATTGGGCGACATTAGGGCGAGACTCGGGAAGGTGAGGAGGTTGTTATGGCCCATAACTTATGGGCGAGGCTGGGGTATATCAACATGAAGGGAGCTTCTATAATGAGAGTCTATGTTGAGGGGTTACAATGAGAGAGTTCAATCCAACATTCCAATAATAATTATGCACTAGATCGAATGGCTATTAAGGACCCCCCTCATTATAACTGCTCACAAAAACCCCCTCACTCTAGCCTCCCTGCACACAAAAGGCTGAAGGAATCGATCTGGATGGGAGGTTGGGGCCTTTGGGGAAAACTTAGGTCATCTCCAGTAGTGGGCTAAAGCCACAAATTTAGCTCTTTGACACCCAAAAGCCATCTCAAGCAAGTTCAAGAATTCCAACATGCAAAGCGCATATGCAGCTAAATCATCTTCAATTAAACAGAGTACGAAATTGGTATTGATTTTATAAGCAATATGGCATGTCCAAAAGCCACTACTATTAACATTTATGAAAGTTCCAAAATTAAACCATAATAGCTAACATGACATCTCCCTAGAAGAAGGTTTTAAAACCAAGCCAAAGAAATCCCTAACTGCAAAATGCCTTTATTTGGACCATGAAACTAGATATAAGCTAAACTTGTTCACTTTGGTGGAGGGAAGAAGATAGCATCAGCAGTCCTCTTCGACCGGAAAAGTTTTTCCGTATCTGCATCCACATTGAAGGCAGCCTGGAGCACCTGAGGAGATAAAGCCTTCCAACAACCAATGCTTCCAGCCAAGTGGGTGAATATGGGACTGCAGCAAAATATGTGTTAGCAACATGTTAAACACCAAGTTGTAACTTTTTATGCTTAGCATAGATCTACACTAAAAAGTTTTTAAGAAAGTGCCAAATATTTCTGAATTATGCCTTCTGTGTGTGGTGGGAATAAATTTACATGTGTGTGTTCCAAGCAGCAAGAGTATGCTTCAATAAAACATGGAAGAAAAGAAGATTGCAGACATACAAGACACACTAAGAACATCTGATAATGTAAAGAAACAAATACTTACTTGGGAGTAGTGATGATAGAAAACCATTCCAAGCCATCTGGATCAGCAATCTTCGAAACAACAAAGTACCTAGGAACGATGAACAAATTACCAGCTTTGATAGTTGTTTCCAAGACCCTCTTACCGTCAACTCCAACAACTTGGACACGGCCACTGCCCCTAACAATATAAGTCACCTGCAGGGCGGAGTCACAAGAAAATCCAGGGGAGCACATAGCGCTTCCATCCAATCTAACAAGGTCAGCACCAAGTCCAACCTCACCAACCAAAGGAAGGTTTTTAGTGTTCAACACAACAACTCTTCCACCATTCTTAATGTCAACATCCAGAGGAGCCTCTTCACAGTTCAATGTCATACCATCTCTGTGTTCCTTCTTTGGCTCAGGTAAGTTAACTCCACTAAGCTTGACTATGCCCTTACCCGATTGCTTTCCAACGAGAGTCTTCACAACGCTCTCCTCCAAATCCCATGCTCGACCCACAAACTCGGTTGAGAAGCCAGTGAAAATGCCATTGGAGCCATTCAGATAGAAGGAAGTGAACTCACCCCTTTTGTGTGCTTTTGAAGTGTCACCCAAGAAAAGAACTACAAACTCAGTGTCCTCCTTGTTGTACCACCAAGTAACAACTCCAAAAGGGAGGGCAATGGCATCACCCTTCTTCACTGGAAGAATCTTCTCTTCCTTCTCAGGAAGCACAATTCCAACTACACCATTACCTATAGGAAAACAAGAAAACAAAGTTCAAACATAACAATTACCACAAGCTCCTAAGGTCTCATAATAACAGGGTAGGTGCTAAATTGATTTCAACAAGGGCATTATTAAAAAAAAAAAAAGTTGAATCGCATCAAAATTCTATATGGTATAATAATAATGGCAAATCCCAGAAAATAAAATATGCAATTATACCACATTAAACAAACGTGATCTCATTTAATTTTAAAGTTAATCACTATTCATTAAACAATTTCAAGATCTTCTTTGATGTCAAAGTTAAAATCACTTTTCATCTACGAATTCCACGACCCACAAAAATAAATGAGCAACCAAACAAACAAACAAACAAGAAAAATAAATACGATCAAGCCGATCATGAAACGAAAACAAAATTATACCTTGAAGGACGTAAGCAACCTTGGCAGAATCGCAGTATTGGGGGAGAGCAAACCCGTTCTTCTCAAGGGCCAGCTTGGCCGCGCCAATGTTACCTTCACGGAGCATGGGAAGTTCAGACGGGCACCAAGAAAAGTAGGACCCACCATCTCCACCGTGCACCTTCTTGGGCAACTTGGGTGAAAGATCAATCTCCATTCTTGACGATTTTTAAGTCTCAACCCAGAAAA